TATTATATATATATATATATATATATATATATATATATATATATATATATTTATTTATTGTTTTTTTCTACTCACTACAAAAATAATGTTACATATAATAATATATAAAAAATATCATTATACATATAACATACATAAATATAAATTTATTTAATATATAATTATACTATGGATTTGAATGAAATTTAATCATATATATTATGTGTTACTATATCTTATACTTAATTTTTTTTAATAATATATTAATATATTTATATAATTTTTAAGGACAAATATATTTCATGATAAGTTATTTTATACTAACTTATCATGTTCTCACATGATTCAAGCATGATTGCTACTTAGCTACAAGTTTTCTTATGCTAAAAAAAAAGGTTTTCTTTATATTTTAAAAAAACCTTTTTTTCTTCTTCTTCACAGTAGTAGTATATCATCTCCAGGAGTACCAGAAACTACTCCATTGCCAATGCAATTGTACGGTCTGAAGTTTCTTATATTTTGCAGGAAAGGCTACAGAAAGAACAAGTACTCTTGAATATATCGAGAAAATTGAAACAGTGATTACTAAAACAAATAAAAAAAAATGACGAGAATGGAGAGAACAATATAAAGGCTGATTGAGAGAAATAAGTACAACAAAAAACATAATTAAGTGCATGTATACGGTTAAGGTAGGAAACGATATCTATTATTAATCTTTGATTATTTTTTTTTCTATTGAGGGAAAAATAATAATTTCCCATTTTTGTGAGCAGTGAATATTATGATAAAACATGGCAGAGAAAAAATTTCAAAGCTGCAGCTGTAATTGTGGGCGAAAGATTTTTCTCTTTATAAAAAAATTACTTTTGTAAATTACTAAGGACTAATATAACTCATTATTTACTAATATTTGTGGTTTAAAAATAATATATATATATATATATATATATTAACAATATTATTAATATATTAATAATGTTCTTTAAATATTATGTAGTTTCCTAATATTAGATTAATTAGCATATGATACGACTAGACAGTATCTGTCAACTCTATGATGCAACGCTTAAGAATTACTGATATTCTTTTAACAATCTTTAGTCATCGAGTATTTACTATTACTCGAAAAATTATCCGAATAATTAAAAAATTATTATTTTTTAATAAATTTATTAAAAAATAATTATTTTTTAATCATTTGGGGGGGTGTTTTTAGCTTTCTTTTTTGAGGTTGTAGAAATACTCATCGAACATAATATCAATGAAATGAAATTTTAGATTAAAAATATTTATAATATGAGAAGTTTAAATCTTGAAATAGCTATTTTGAAAGAAAAAAAAGTCCATTCTTCACAACTCAAAATTTATTCTCAGTGTGAAACGCAGGGATCGATGGATTCACGAAAGAAAGAAAAATGCCATCGTTTAATTTTAATCATTCTATCATTTGGAATGAGTGACAGAATAGAATAAATACGTGTTACCACTCTTACAGCAATCCTTTTATTTTGGAAGGAAAAGACAAAGGAAAGGTATTTTAGTGCAGTATCAGTCTTTCCATTTTATTCTATGGAAAAAGTTTTTCCTTTTTTAATAATTAAACTAAAACGGTGTTGTTGTTGTCTTTGATTCTAGAACAATTTTTTTAAAATAAGTGAAAGATATAAACAATTATGCATAAGTTTATGTGTATTATTAATTATATGATGTTCAATGATGATACTATTTTTATTTTAAAACAGAACAAGGACATGATCAGAGGAAATACTCATTCCAAATGTAACAATACCAGAAGAAAAAAAGCTAACATATTGATTACTACTCATTGATGCATAATAATTTGATGGGATTCACTAAACAATAGCAACTGTTAAATCAAAATAGCAGTGTTACAATAAGTGTTTTTCCCTGTTTGGTAAATTGATAGCATTAACTGGCAAAAATAATGGTTGGGTCACAGCAGCACTCGTCCAAAAGGCAACAGCAACACAAAGCCGCTAGGCTGCACATTAGAGGAAAAAGAAAACAAACAAAGTTAAGAGGGGTTTTGAACAAGAAAATTAAAGCAACTTTCCCTTAATTGAAGAACAATTAAGCAAATACTTGAATCACTGATATTGTCTTAATAATTAATAGAAAAGAGAAAACATACATTAATCGTTATTATTATTATTGTAATTTTATGACCAAACAAAAAAAACAAATACTTTCCAATATAATCGCTTACCATCCCTCAAGGAAACCCGGTTGTCTTCTCGGCGGTGGAGCGGCGGCGTAGTACTGCGGAGGTGCCGCCACCGGAGGTGGCCCCTGATAAGGACCTGTGTGGGGACATAGCAACAATAACTATTCAATAATAATTGTCAAATATACAAATTAAAAAAGTTTCAAATCCAGGCAATGACATATGCAGTGGACAAAAAATGACCAACTAGCAACTAAACAACAACTTTTTTTATTGCCATATATGCAAAGAAAGAAAATTAATGATACATATATATATATGTGGTGAGAAGGGTTTTGAGGGCTGAAAATTATATTCATATATACCTTGAGCTGGGTAAGGATAGCCATATTTGATCTCACTCATTTCTGCAAGAAGAACAACAACCTTTGCAAAAACCAGATAGACCCAAAATGTTTCTCGGAAGACACAACTTGTATTTGGGTTGGAAGACAAGGGTGTATATATATATATATATATATACGGA